GAAGTAGATGGAGTAATGGAGTCTGAATGTTCTATGGAAGTTGGGTGAAAATTGTATTTTTACTGGAAAAGCCATGTCATATCTATTTACTTAATAAGTAGGTACTGTTCCAAACCAAACACAATAATCTTTTTGAATTCTTTCTTCTTCTCACCACTGTTTTTTACAACTCATAAAAAAAATATGGGAGAAATTTTGAGTTAATTGCTGAAATTCGACTTTCATTGGCTTAATAAAATCCAGGAGAAATTTTGTTACCATTTCTGCAACAATATAAGTAAAATACTTAAATTCCTTAATAATAGTAATTACACTATCAAACCTGTAAACACAAAATCAGAAAACTGTTAGAAGAATAAAAGAAACTGAAAAAACAGTAAAGATTAAGAAATATTCCGAGTCCACAATTTGCTTGTGCGTCCTTAAGGAATTTTAACCCCCTCACACGTTGCCAAGGTAATGGATTAAATCCTCCCAGGATAAAACGGAATAAACCTTCCTGCAACAGTGGCAATACAAACTGCAGGATACCAACGAACTTAAAGAACAGAGCAAAATCACACTTACGAATTTGAGAGAGAGAGACTGCGAATTAGAATGCAGTATTTTCAGAAAGAAGGAAGTTCTGTAATGTTTTTGGTGTGTTAAAAACGAAGCCATGCCTCAGAATTTATAGGCAATTATTGGAAGAGGTGTGATGTTTGTTCTGGAAAAGGTGCCTTTTCAGAAGTTTACGCGGCCTGTATGCCAGGACCGTGGCCAGAGTGGCCCTCTGAATCTGCAGTAGGGTTCTGGCGCGGTCCTACTGCGGTTACGCCAGGACCGCGGCCAGACTATCCTTCTGAATCGATCCAACCGAAGCCGAAGCCGAAGCCGAGTCGAGCGAGCGTCGACGACGGCGCGAGGGATCATTCTCTTCAACTCCTTTTAAGAGCTTTAAGAAGTGATTCTATATATAAGCACACAAATGTAGTTGTCCCTCACCAATGAGGGACAAAGTGCAAGTCAAAAGCTTACTTCATTCAAATTTTCATTTCCCTCTATTCTATTTCCCGCCATTTTCAATTCACACTCTTATACTTTAAAGTCCAATGCTTAAAGTCTTTGAAGCTCAATGCCTTTAAAGTCCAACAAAACCCAGTATATTTCATACCATATTTTGCAATCTATTTTGAATATCTATGTACGTGTTATTATTATTATCGTGCAATGCACGTTCATAGAGACTAGTTATTATAAAAGCACGAATAATTTATGCTAAATGTTAGATGACTAAAATATCCTCGAAACTTTGATAGACTTTTATACCCTTAATATTTTGAGTTAAATGTGGATATAATGTAGTATTCCAAATATATTACCCAAGAATGGAATTCTTTCTAGATTAAAACTCCACATATGCCAACAGCAAATTCCTGCTCTACCAATACCTAGAACTTTTAAAATAACTACAACTGGTAAAGTTGGAAATAATTATGAATTTGGATAAACTTACTATACTTGTCATTACGATAAATAACTTGAATAAAAACTAATATTAAATATTATATTCTTTAACAGATTTATTAATTTATTCGTATCATTTTGTAATTTTAAACTATTTAGTTCCAATTTATTTTTTGATTATCACAACATTATTATGATTTGGTTTGCATTACATATATATAACTTCTCTTTTAAACAACTCGTTATCTAACTTTAACAATTACTTATGGTACATGTTTGTAATATTTGACACAAGATATTTGTGCAACGCACGAGTATAGAGACTAGTATTATTATAAAAGCATGAATAAAATGTTGGATTACAAAAATAACCTTTTAATATTAAGCACAATAATTCACAATAAAAGGACATAATCGGAATTCTAGACATTAGCCTGGTAATCCTATTAGTTTTAGGACATAATACTACACTTTAGGAATCCTACATTGATTACTTTTAGGAATCCTATTAGTATAATTATTTTTGGGGCATAGATATTAGCCTTGTAATCCTATTATTTTTAGTATATACTTCTTAAAAAATTTCTACTACTAATTAAATTTGAAGACGTATTATATTGTCCAAATCCATTTAGAAACAAGAGAGCCTATATTATATTTTATTATTATTATTATTATTATTATTATTATTAAAGCACGAATATAATATTGGCATACCAAAATAGCCCTAACATATTAAACATAAGAACTCATAGAGAAAGGATATAGCTGTAATAATTATTTTTAGACTACAATAACTTCTATGTTAATTTTATAACATTTAAGATTTTAATTTAATACAATCTTGTCTATTGAATTCTTATAAAAAATATGCAAGAAAGTTTAATAAAATCAATTTCATAAGAATCCTCCATATTGGTAATACATTACCCCTCCAATACCAAAAACAAAAAAGTAATGTTAAACGGACTGCATAAAGCGTTGAAATTGAGAAAAAATTTCCACAATATTATATTATTATATTATATTTGAATTGCTTTCCTACTCAAATAAAAAAATTATTAATAACTTTTTCGTGCAATATAAAAAACTATACCTAATTATTAAAGAACAACTAAGAAATTTTTTTAGAATATAAATGTGTGAGAAAAAAAGAAGAAAAAGGTTGGTAAGAGCCAATATCACTGATGATTTTGCAAACATAAAGATCTAAAAGTGGAATGCATCGATCTTTTTACTCTTTGAAAATAAAATTTATGGTGAGTAAAATTATAATCACGGTTAAATATTCAAACACAGGGAGAACTAATATTAAGAATCTAAATCAACAGAAAATAAATTACATGTTATGTTAAAACCAAATAATCAAATTTTTTTTAATTAATTGTTTAGCAAGAGAATCCAATTAAATTATTTTTAAAATTCATCATACGAGTAAAATCCAAATAACTGTCACAAATATATCAAATCAGAGCAATAGTGCTAAATTTATAAGGAAAGCAAAAGTGATAATATGGGATGAAGCGTTTTTGGCTAAGCGTCAAATGATTGAAACAATCGCCCAGAGTTTTAGAGATATATTGGATATCGATGAATCATTTGGTGGAAAAGTAATTGTTTGGGAGGTGATTTATGTCAAGTATGATCAATAGTTCCAAAATTGACCAAAGCAGAACAATAAAAGCTAGCTTGCCAAAATTATACTTATGGTCTCAAATGAAAAATATTCAAATGACAAGAAATATAAAAGTAAGAACGTATCCAACATTCAATGACTTCTCGCTTCGTGTAGGAAACGAACCAGAGCATCCAATAAAAGATGATTTGATTCTTCTAGAACACTTGGTTATCAACCCCAATGGTAATAGTAGTGCATTTAATAAGGGAAATATTTTTATCATTAGACTAAAATAAAATTTGTACAAATTACACGATAGAAATTAAAGAGTTATCTTAGATAGCATAAATGAATATGTTGATCAACTAAATAAAAGGTTGATTGCTAAGTTTTATGGTAAAAATAAAAAAATATTATTTTTGACTCAGCAGAAGATGATACCAACAATAACTACCAAGAAGAATACCTAAATATTTTAATACCAAATGGCCTTCTACTGTACATGTTTGTTGTCAAGTTCATTATTTCTTAGGTATGTTAGTGTCACCATATATATAGACTAAGTTTTGAAAACTTAGATCTGCTGAATAACTTATGTAATAGTACATATATGGTATATAGAAGTTTTGACAATAACGTCATACATGCAGAACTTATGATATTGGTCAATGTGCTTCTAATATGTGTTTATCCTCGAATTCAACTTTCGTCTTCCGAAACTAAAGAATATCCTTTTTAATTTGTGTGAAAATAATTTTCAGTATGTTTATGTTTTGTAGTTATATAATAAATAAAGCGCAAAGACAAACATCCTAAATATTGGATTATATTTACCAATTATATTTTCTTACACGAATAATTATATGTTGCATTTTCAAGAGAGATATCAATATTGACAACAAGAGTTCTGATTATGGCACAGTAACCAAAATATTAGAAGGAAACATATACAAAAAAAGCACTGTCTAGAAAGAAGTGTTCGGTAAGATACCATCACATTAGATACTTTTAAACTACAATACATAATTATCTACTTAACATGAATAAAATTGATCATTTATGTAAGTTCTGATGATATCTTTTCATTTTGAATTCACTTATTATACTAATGTAACAATATTTTTCGCCATTTAGATGATTGTTGTAATATTATATATAAAATTTCTCTCATTAATTAAATTATATTGTTTCTTCATATAAATAAATATTTAAACCATAATGTGCAATTATTAACGTGCAACGCACGTTTATAGATACTAGTATGTAATAAAATATGAATCCTCCTAACTAACTGAGATTTGAAAGCATGACATTAATCAAATTTTCTAACACTAAGTATATCACTAAAAGATAACCGCGAGAATTAAATTTTTAGTGAAGTTTTTGCTTTTCGTAAAGAGTTTGAGTTAACTTACAATAATAAATAGTAATTCTTAATAGCAATCTTGATATTATAACTTGAAACCTGTTATAACAGGTTACAATTACACCTATTTATGTTGTCAGTAAATAAAGGGCAGCCCGATGCACTAAGCGTCCGCTATTCGCGGGGTTCAAAAGAGGGTCAGACCATAAGGACAGTGGCGGATCCACATGGCACATGTGGATGCTTAAGCACCCATTAACTTTGATCATATTTGTTAAAGTTGCATAGACAATTATAAAAATATTTCGACAAATATTTAGTGAGCACCCACAACTAAACTCATTTTTCCTCTTCTTTTGAATTTTTCGGCGAGCACCCATGACTTTAAAATCTTGAATCCGCCACTGCATAAGGGTCTATTGTACGCAACATTGCCCTATATTTCTGCAAGAGACTCCTGGACACATGGCAACAACTTTACCAGTTACGATGTCAGTAAATGTTACTCTAAAATACATCAATTATTTAAGTGAAAAAATTGTTTTACATGATCCTTAGCTAACAAACATATCTAATAAACTGTTCAAATGCTCATAACCCTGAAACATTGAACTACATTTTGATATTAACAAACCAATTAACTTCTGTATTATTTCGAGTGGAGCCAAATCTATACACAAACAGTGACCTAACAATAGCAACAATTTCTGCCCTTTGTCCCACATTCAATCTATTTTTTTTTGCTATTTCTATTGCATTTCAAGCCTTCAATCGCTATAAACTAAAGTCCCTACTTTATCCAAACTCTAATCAAATTCAATAATTCCATAGACAATCAAGGTCCACTGGCCCAGCTGAATTGATATTGAAGTCATTATGATCCTCGTAACCTCTCAAATGATTGTTGTGTTTTGATTCTGACCCATAGTTGTTGTTTTCCAGTAAAAGCCTCAATATAGAATTATCTTGCATCAGTCCAGAATCTACATACTGGAAATTGTCAATGTAGGGTTGCATTACTTGGTTTGGTATATTTGAAGGGTATTTTGGGAAATCAACAGAAGGAGGTGAACAAGCCAGAGGTTGTTGTGTTTGAGGTTTTTGGTCCTCCATTGAATCGGAGAAGCAGGTCACATGAGAATTACTTGTCTCTCCACTACTTCTGGTTGTTGTTGTAATCTGATTATTATATGGTGACATGTCCATTAATGGTGGCAAATTTGAGGACCGTGGACTTTCTGTCATATTGTTGTTTCTGATTAGACTTGAGATTGCTATCTTTTTCCCTCCTGAAGTTTTCTTGAAAACTCTGCATATCACACATTCATTCTGCAGAAAAAAGGGAAAAAATCAGAATATTGTCAACAATTCAATTTACTTTTTCTAGCCGGTATACATTGATTATACACTGATTGTATCCGATTTTACACATATTCTACATGAATTATACATATATTATACATCTGTCGGCTATTGTTAGTTTACGTGGTTGAATGAGCGGTTGTTTAGGTTAATTCTTCTATGTAAAAACTCTGAATCTTCAACGAAATCTGGACTTCAACTCATAAAGATTAAATTCTGAATCACAAAAACACAACCTTAAACAGGGAAGAAAAAGCATGTTTTTGATGATTCTTTTTACCTGGGCAGATTTTGGAAGGTTATGGACTGAATATTTGCCATCTAATCTATATTCATGCATGACCCAATTGGTTTTTTCTCCTCTAGGTGCTCTTCCTTTGTAGAAAACCAGAGTTTTCTTCATACCAACCAATGTTTTTGACCTGAATATCTCTTTATCTTTGCCTGTTGCCTTCCAATACCCTGCTTCTGTTGCTCTGTTTGTCCTTTGTCCTGTTGGATATTTCTTGTCCCTAATACAAAAGAAGTACCACTCTTTTTCACCCATTTTTGCCTTCCCTGCATTTCAAAACAAATTAAATACACAGAGATAGAATATGTATTTGGATAAATTCAAGAAATCACTCATTGGAATTCATCTGGCAAAGGTGCAACCCGATGAGCCCAGGGTCAGACCATAACAGTCTATCGTACGTAGCGTAGAAAACTTACATGGCAAATCCCAAGGTTCAACTTTGTTCAAATCCACCTCACCAATAGCTTTAGCACTAAAGTTGCAATCAAGAACCTTAGGGGCTAAATAATGAGTGATAAGCTCTTCATCTGTTGGATGAAAACGAAAACCAGGAGGCAATTCCATTTCTTCTTCATGTCCTTCAAATCCACACACAGTCTCCATAATTTCTTGAATTTAAATTTCTTCAAATTGTTATCAATTTCTTTAAAGGTGTAACATCAAAATAAGAAAGCTTTGAATATGAACACAAGCTAATTATATGAAGGAGTGAAAGAATATGTAAAAAAAATTGGAACTGGAGTTAAGGGAAGAGAAGAAAACTTGTAGTAGAAAGATTATTGGTATTATTGAGATAAAAGTGTAGCTAAGGAGGAACACTAGGTCCCTAAATAGGAGTAATTTTGTTAACTTAGTTTCTAAAAGCCGACTTGGGTTGGGCAGTTTTAATTTTATAAGCAAAATAAAATTGTCGCTTTCGTGTTGAAGTTGACCAAAAACTCCTCCCTTATCTCCATACCTAGCTTTCATATTTCAACTGCGTTTTAATGATTTAATTAAATGAAAATGGCGTAATCATATGCGTATGTATGTCATTAGGTAAACTTGGAAATTCAAATGGTTGGTAAATAGCTCTTGTTTGTTGTCATTTGTTTACCAATATAATCTACTTCAAAATTTTGCTATGTGACTAAATAGTCATTGTATATCCGTCACCTTCTTCTCATGGGTGAATTCAAATATTTATAAAAGGCCGTATTACTGTCATTATTTATTGTCTCAAAAATAAATCAGAAATTTGGAAGGTAGTAGAAATTCGAACTGGCGACACAATTACTCAATGTTTAGCTTATTGATGGAATAATCAAAATATTACACAAAATGACTTACATTCATAGGTGGAATTAGGATTTGTAGTTTATTGATTCTGAAATGCCACTGAACTCATAAAACTCTTAGTTAATGGTTTCGCAATTAAAAAAAAGTAATATATATATATATATATATATAAATAGATTTTTAATACAAATTCAAAGTCGAGAAAAAAATACTAGGTTTGTCTAAACCCGTAGCGAATATTCTCCCTCTGCCCCTCCGCTTATATTCAGTGGCGATGCCACATGGTTACAAGGGTAGTCAATTGACCACTATTCATCGAAAAATTGCACTGTGTATATAGATAAAATATTACGTTTTAGAGGTATATAACACATATTGAACACCTTTTGTCGGGATTTTTTTTTACTTCTTTCAAATTTGAATTCCCTTGAGTAAATTCCTAGCTTCGCCACTGCTTTTATTTACCAGTAAATGACCTAAATAAATAGCCTACATATTTTAGAAATTATCAAGAAAGTTCATAAATGTCAACTGTGATATTACTACTGACACAGTCGCATAAAAGGTGCTAATAATTATCCTAGATACTTAGGTACAGCTTATAAATATTAAATCTTGCAAGACCAATCAATTATCTTTAATCCCTAAATTAAAAAAAGCATAATTTGGTCCTTAACCAGGTTTAAAAAAATTTCCGTAATTAGCTTCTTGTGCTGTGAATGCGGAAGGTGGTAATTAAAGTGTATCTTTAAGACCAAAGTAATTAAATTCAATCATGTCAAGCTGCACCATGCACATGGCTTACATCTGTCTCTCATTCTTGTACTCTTTTATTTACTTTATGACCACATATATACACCAATAGTTCATAATAATAATACTCACGTATACTCTTACCAGTTTCCTTTGTTTCTTTTCTCTTTACACCTTGATAAAAAGTCTCTGTGGGCGGTGTCGTATTGAATAATAACCTTAAAAAATTCCTACGTTTTTTATGATCTACTCAGTCCTATGAACAACGGAAAAAGAAAAAAAAAGTCAGTCCTATGACCCCCCCCCCC